ATAAATGTGTATTTCTCACAAGGCAAATAAAAAGAAAAGGCATTATATATACACTTTGAGGGTGAGGGATAGCTCAAGTGGTTAGAGCTCCCCTCTCAATTCCAAGAGATTTTGAGATCAATTTATATAAAACTAGATGAAGCCCGTGCGATGCACGGTTTGTTAGTATTTTTTAAAAAATATTTTTCATATTTATGTGTTTTTGTTATTATATTAGCTTTAAAATATTAGATAAAATTTCTAATCTCAAAAGATAATATTTTGTATTTTATTAGTTTAAACTTTAAAATTTCATTCGTCAATTTTGTTAACGTGGCATTTGAATTATTTAATTGTAAAATAAATTAATAATCTCTTATTTAATTGGGTACAACTTAAACTCATAATCCTACATGGCGCACTAAGAAAAATAAATCCTATGTGGCTCTCTAAAAACTCGGGGAAAAACTCCCCTTTATATATATATACTAGTCTTGTGCCCCGGCGATGCCCGGGTAGTTTATGGACTTTTAAGATAAAATTATACTACGTATTATAATTCAATTTGATTGAAAATAGAATTCTAAATTAACTCTTTTTGCTACAAAGTCAATCTATATTTATCCAACGTGGATACTTGGTGAAAAATTAAAATGTTAAATGATGTTGTCTTGTGGCCTAATTATAAATTTATTATTTGATATTTTATTTATCAAAAATATAACTCTAAACTAATAATCTTATTCTAAAATTCTATCCTATAGAATTCTTACCTAATTTTTTTTTTATCTTATGAAATCTATCCAAGGCGGCGCGACACTTGACGGTTTTTTTATCACATGAAATCTATTTAAATTTACCCAAGGTGGCGCGACACTTGGCGAAAAGTTAGAATGCCAAGTGTCGTTTTTTCGTGACCTGGCTAAAAGTTTAGCTTTATATATTAGTTATATGATTAGATTTACATATACACTTAATTAGATGTGACAAATTATAAGCTACATGACTACTCAAAATTGACTTAGTCAACCACGGTAAAATTAACTTGATTAACTCTTGACTCGAAACTTTAACAGGTGAACTCGAGCTACTACATACATAACCATACACGACTCGACTAGTCGACTAGCATCATAAACTCACCCCTAATTGCACACTCAGAGCATAATTATTATCCAAAAGCCCAAACTGACGTGGACAAAATAAAACTCCTGAAAATTTAAAAGACGCGCGCTCATTCTCTCTCTGTCTAAGTTGTTAGATATTTCAAAGTAATTTGGAGTAAATAAAAACAGAGTTCGTTACAATTTGTTATGCCTCCATCTCTCTCTATAAATATCAAATATTCTACTTCATTCTCTCTCACCTTCAAATCCTCTCACTTCTCACTCTAAAACCAGTTAATCAAAGTCGCTCAACTTCTCTCTCTAAAACCAGCAACTCAACTTCTCTCTCTAAAACCAGTTGATCAGCAATGGAGGAAAACAGACCAGAAAAGGTTGCGAAAACGGAGGAGAAGTCGACAGTTACTCAAGAAACAGTGAAGAAACAGGAAACCTCTGAAGAAAACGCTGTAATGGAGGATAAGAAGATAATCTCCGACGTAAAAGCTGAAATGGCGGTTGATAAGAAAACAGAGGATACTGATTCTTCTCAAGAAAAGAGGAAGATGATCTCTCAAGGAAAAGCTCCAATGGTGGAAGAGCAGATTATATAACTTGATTATGATGATTATGAAGATTTACTTGATGAATTTCTCGCGGAAAAACGTCCGAAAAAGGAGATGAATGTTGATGATCGTAAGTTTTCAAACGATTTTCTAAATTTCTTTTCTAGTTAGTCTAAATTGAATGAATAACCTAGTGATAGTTCTTGAGGATAACAGTAAATTCGTAATCGAATTCAATTGATGAAATTATGCTGTGTTAATTTTATGGTTCTTGATTACTTGATTTACGACTAAATTTTGTGTTGTGGTGTATTTCAGTATTTGTACTAGCTACATTTCTAATGCGGTAGAATTATTTTGCAGTATTATCTATTAATTTTTATCAAGATTAAACTATATTTGAGATGAGTTTTCTTGAGAAAATGGTTGATGTTATATTGATCGACTATGAAGAATTCATATCCAAATTAATTTAACACAAATAATTTTGTACGTGCAAGCTTCGATTAATTGATGTTATCTTGAGAGCTAAGATCGAATTGAATAAATAACCTGGTGTTAGTTCTTGAGGCAAACAGAAAGTTCATGGTCGAATTCAATTGATGAAATTATGTTGTGTGAATTTTATATTTTTTTATGGTTTCGTGATTACTCGATTTTATTTTGTGTTGTGTTATATTTGTACTAGTTACATTTCTAATTTTCCGTCATTAGCGATTAATTAATTAATTACATTTCTAGTTTTCATGAGAAAATGGAGAGAATTGATTAACGGTTTGATGCTATTTTTCATCAATTAATTAATTAATTGACTATGAAGAAATCATATCGTACATAATACAAAAAGAAAAATTATACGTGTAAGCTTCTATTAATGTAAGGTTTAAATCATATTGCAAACTATAACTATAGTTGTATATTTCTAAAGAATTTTTTATAAAGAAATATGAAATTAAATGTCTTCATTTTTGCCTTTTTTTTTTTCTTTTTTTTTTTTTACAGAAAGTTGGACCGGTGCTGAAAAATTGTTTCAGGATATTGGAGCTGATACTATTTATACTGCTTATACAGAAGCTTTCCAATCGAAGAACATTGAAAAACTCGATCGTGAGCTCAAACCACATGGAGAATAGTCAGGGATTTTAGTGATGTTCAGCATGCAGTGCCACAAGAAGTATAAGAAGACAGATTTATATTTTTTGCTGAATCTTCTCCACAAATATGTGATAGTATCGGAGTTTGATGTCTTTGGTTTCAGTGCGAGCTATGATGTAACAGAGGAATATCAGCCAACCCTGCAACGCGGAATGTGGCATGTGATGTTCATTTTTGATCAGGCAGATGAGGTTCATAAACCAGCAGACATGGTTGCAAAAGCAATTGTAGGTGCTTATACAACAAGGATTTGGGGTGAAGAAGTTTTCTCTACTCTATACACCTTTTTGAGGTCTCGAAACGTGAGTAAACTGAGGGTTGCATTCGCCACAGTTACTGCCTTGGTAAAGCGTTATAAAGACGAAAGCAATCAGGAACTGTCCACAGTGATCCACAAAACCAAGATCGTTGAAGCCATGTCCAAGATAAACGTACCTAAACTCCCTACAGGAGTCCAACAGCATGCCAGACGCTGTGCTGAAGAGCTTACAGATTTGCCAAATCCACCAGAGAGTGTGTCTGTGATTGCTGCTGATTCTGCTTCTGGTAAAGCAACTGAATTGGAGAAGCAGGTACAATGACTGCATTATTTTACTCGAAATCAAATCGTGGTTGAACTTGGAGACTTTAGCTGGGGATCATATATGGAAGAGTTGCATATATACCTGTAGAGAAACCTTACCTTTGGTACAAGTTTTAGAGCTATGATCGTCTTTGTTACTTGATAACTGTCTATAGTATGTAGTAGAATAATGAGGCTAGCTAAAAGCTGTTGATAAGTGTCTTAGTAAGAGTTAGAGAGATGCATGGTATAGTATAAACTTAGACTATGTTAGCTGATAACTATCTTTAGTATGTAGTAGAATAAGCCTGTTAACATTCTCTCTGTTATTGCTTAGTTGAGGTGCAGTATCTTGAATTCTTGGTATAAATAATACAACTGATAGAAGTATATACTTCGTCGTAACAAAGTTTGCCTTGTTAACTGTATCTTTGTTCAACTGTAATGTTTCATTGCTGTATGGCCTGTGTCTAATGAATGGTATACCACTTTGAGATCAGAGATTCAGGATTATGTCAGATTCTGATTATCGATCATGACTGTTGCATTCTCTACTGCTGATTAGTATCACTATCAGACAGCTATTTAGTTAAGCTATCCATGGGCAAGCAACAACTAAATGTAGTCAATAATGTGTTTCTTTAAATAAATAAATGAACAAATAAATAATCAGTGTTAATTGAGGGTCTCTGTCAGATATGGTATCTAAATAAAAAAAAAGAGGTTAAAAGATTACATAGATATATGTATTAATCTATTTATATGTTCTTCCAACAGATCTTTGTACATGCCAAAGGCAACTAATTAAGTATATGATAAGAGTTATGCATTTATTTGCAAAATTCAATGCTGATCTTTACTTCAATAACAAAATTTTGCAGACTGAAAATGGAGTTTCGATTGCTAGCAAAGATAGAGGTCAGAATGTTAAATGGTCCCTGCCAAATAGGGGGAACAAGAAACTCAACACTGCTTGGAGCTTGAAGGGTTCTAACCTGATTGGTGGAGGTGGTGTTATTCGAAATGATGATAGGTCTTGGCTTGCAGGTTTCTCTATGAAGTTTCACTCTATTTCTCCTGAAGCTGCAGAGCTTCTTACAATAAGAGAGGGCCTGATTACTGCTAAGAAGTTTAATATCCGGCGTCTTGAGCTGGAAACTGATGTTGATGAATTGAAAACAATGATCCAATATCATGAAGATTACCTTAATCATGAGCTGGGCATGATTATCCAAGACATTGTGTATTTGCTTAAGAAAGATTGGATAGTTATCATTCTTCGAGCCAAAAGAGCTGCCAACGCTTTTGCTTACAATTTGGCTAAGTTTGGTTTACAGTTGACTGATGATGACATCAAGTTTCACTACTTCATTCCCCCTTGTGCTCGTGATGCCTTTGAAAGAGACTGCGAAAGGAACTGACCTGCTTTCGCTGCTGCCTTCAAGTGCTTGGGATGATAACCACACTTCAGACTTGTGCATATCTTTATTTGTGTTTGCTGTTACTACTAGTTGTATGCAGACTAATGTAGTTTACCTTTGTTTAAGATAAACTTTAGCAAGGTTATCTCCTTTCTACCTGCCTGTATGTACTCATCATTCATGATCTGATTATATGTCAATGTGCTTCTATAAATAAATAAATGAATGTATAAATAAATAAATAATCAGTGTTAACTAAAGGTCTGTCAGATAAGGTATATAATTAAAATAGAGCTTAATAGATTACATAGACTATATGTATTAATCTACATATTTATATATATTCTTCCAACAGATTTGTGTACATGCCAAAAGCAGCTAATTGAGTACCATACACAGCTTATTAAGCGCTTAGATACTGAGTTTAGGACGGAATTTTGAATCAACAAATCTTGAGGTGATTTTATCTGTACAAGCCATGCGGATTCTCTCAGGTGTAGCAGGATTGTCCAGAGGAAACCACCCACTGTAGCCTGCTTCTGTTCTAGCGGCTGTGATTGCATCCTTGATAGCAAATAAGATAGCAGAAGCAAGGAAAAATGGAGGTTCGCCAACAGCTTTTGAGGAATGTATAGCTTTAACATTTGGAGATCCCTGCATATCAGCCAAAAGTAGCATGTTATAGAATATTTGAGACAGATTCTTATTTGTAGTGTCACACAGAAATACAACTTTAAACAAACAAGGAATATTAGCAATATTCATATGGGATCACTTTTACTTTGGCCATGTATATGCTTCTCATCTAGAGACAAAGTTTCATAACGATATAAAAAAGACAAATTTTTAACCATCAGCATCAAGCTCGAGCTTCCTTCTTACAGCCATGCCCTTCCGGAGTTTAGAGGCAGTGAGGCCCATACGGCCATACTACAGAGTATGTAATAACTGGAAAGGATTTATTGGCAGAATACTCAATCAACCAGATGGTTTTTTAGCCTACTACAGATCCAATTCTATAACTCACAAATTGGGATGTATATAGAAGCATCTAACACTATAACTGAAAACGACAGGTGTACAAACCTTCAAAAGAGAGACGCTGAATTTTGAGGGAACATCATTCAGGGATGGAATTTTATAATTTCCAGGTCCACATGTGTAAAGGAAGCCAGGAGGTATCCACTTATGAGCTGAATCTCCCCACTTGAGCTCCTCTAAAGCAACCCAACCCAGCCCCTGTACGAATGCCCCTTCAATCTGCAATAAACATGGATTGTACAAAAATGAATATGCAGGATATAATGTAAAGTTCAGCATTGATTTTCTGTGATTAATGTGCGACTATCCTGAGCTCTACACAATCAAGCGACAAGAGTCAATAGTATCATGAAGACACGGACGGTAAAAACAAAACTAATAAACAACTGCAGTCAATCATATAACAACATTGCTCCTGACATTTGCCCCATTTAATTTTTTATTAAAACGAGGACAAGACTCACTACTTACTATTCTTCAAAGTAAATACAGAAGATAAAATATAAAGGTTTTAAGCAAAGACCAATTTTGAATAGGTTAAAACCAAACCAAACAATGCAACTTCTACCAATATTTTCCAACCATTCTTCTATCTAATTCATTAAGCCCAAGCAGCTAAGATGGAGATTTCTGCAGTGGAAAGTACCTGACCAACATCAATGGCCGGATTGAGAGAATGTCCAAGATCAAGAAAGATGTTTGCAACTCTTGTATGGAAATCTCCAGTTAATGTGTCGATTTCAACCTCAGCAAAAGCAGCACCATACGTGAAATAACTGAAAGGTTTTCCCTTGCAAGTTTTCCAATCAAAGCCGATATCAGGAGTAGCATGGAAACCATGAGCAGATAGGTCTATTCTCTCCAAATAGCAAGCATGTGCCAACTGAAAGAAACAAAGTGGTCATCATTTCCTAGAGGAAAAGGAATTTTTTTTGGAAAATGTATGTTATTATCTAGACACACTACCTCAGCAAATGAAAAAAAGTTCTGTTTTGAAGCAATAGGCTCCATCCTTGCTTTTATTTGCTCACAAGCATCTAGAACTGCAGCACCATACATATCAGAGCTTGCTGATGCTGCAGTTGGTGATGAATTTGGAACCTGTTGGCCGCAAACAAAAACAGCATAATAGAAGTAAGTGCCTGTAGATTCTACAGTAAAATATTTATGTATGCGAATTTGAAATCTTCTGCTGCTTGTTACCTTGTCTGTACTAGTTTCGGATATGAATACAGAGCTAAGAGGAATGTCAAAAGCAGAAGCAGCAATTTGAGCTACTTTTGTATGTAAGCCTTGACCCATCTCAACACCACCATGAGTAACTAGTACAGTGCCATCAGTATAAACTTGGACAAGGGCACCTGCCTGCATTCATTGCAATCAATAAATAAGAACAGTGAAAAACAAGAGATGAAACACCTCTCCCTAGTCCCTACTCACTTTATAGACATGCCAATCTTTTAAAAAAAATATCCTCTGTACATCTAAAATCACACTGCATGTTGACACATTATTGACAAATGTAAATCAAACCTCAAAAGTCTATAGGAGGCAATCTTTATTGAACGGAGGGAAGCTTGTCACCTTAACTTGCATGTGTATGGTAAATTGATAACATGTAGAGTCAACAATGATAGAAAATGCACACAGGAATGGATACTTTGCAGGCTCACATCAAGGATAAAAATGTAATGCATGATCTTTCTACCAAAGATTCGAATCCAATTTCACAGAACCTAATTCAAATAGAATAATAAATCATTGCCACATACAATTGACATTGGTATGAATTCAATACAACCAGATTAAAGCCTCAAAATTCATGGAAGTACCCAATATTGCCCTTCCCACAAGAAAAATCATCATCATGCCTGGGTCTGATTAAGGTTAATGTAGACGACAGGAGCGAAAAAATAAATTGTGTTGACATTTTTTAAAAAAAGGGACCTGGTCATGCCCACTAAGTGGAGGAGAGTTGAACCACTTATAAGCCTAACAGGGTTTCATCCCAAAACCAAGGAAGTATTAGCTTCTCAAGTAGTCAAGTATAAAAACTGTTAGGCAATTCACAATGTCTATTGCATTATAGGTTACCTGATTCATAAATTTGGTTGTAAATGAGATGCCAAATTTAGTGGGAATCATAGCAATTCCACGTTTTATCCATCGATTTTGAACATTAAACTCATCGGCCTCTGCACGTGCCTTTGGAAAGTTGCATGATGATTTGAGTTGATTCCACAGCTCACGCAATGTGAAATGCTCAAGAGCTTGGCCATAATGCAATATTGATCCTTCACTTTGGAAGTTTATTTCCTAAGACAGCACAAATTTGAGAATTATTTAGAACTCAACAAGTATATTCACAAACAAAATGTTGATTTCATCAAAACTGATGATATTTTGTAAGCAAAGCCTCAGTGCCTCACACAATAAAAACATATACAGCAGTTAGTCTTACCCTGATCTCCTCTGGGCTCTTCTTGAGCTCCATGGCTATCCTCTGGATCCAATTTTCAGCAATAAGCATCCCTTGAGGGCCACCAAATCCACGGAACGCAGTGTTGCTTGGAAAATTAGTGAAGCAAACATTTCCATTAATCTGAACATTAGGTATCTCATAAACATTGTCCGAATGAAACATTGCACGTTCAAGGACAGGAAGAGAGAGATCATGTGAATTTCCAGCATTGTTATAAATCTCAAGGTCCAGAGCAAGAACCTTCCCCTCATTTGTAAATCCTACCTGTACAGTGATACATAACATCAATTAAGTAAAAATGTTTAATATCAGGATCCGTGAAACAAATTCATAGAGAGGCTATCTTCATAAAGAACTGTCAATCTACACACATACAAAATTGAGTGAGACAAGGATGCTAGGGTTTCAAAATCATCCATATTTGACTGAAAGCAAGACAACTTTTCACTTGAAATCAATTAAATCACATACCAATGGCACATGGTTGATTAACTGTGATGCAAAAAAATAAAATAAAATAAAATAAAATAAAAATAAATAAAACACACACACACACATCATAATACCCCCCTTATTGTGAAGTTTGTAAAATTTAGAGTCTGATCCCATAGATTTCTCATGGTGTTTCTCTCTATGGTTAGTGTAATATTGTCCCATAGTGTAAAATTTCCACTTACTTTTTTTTTTAATTTTTTTTTTGAAATAAAAATTTCCACGTACTTGTGAAAGGGATATTCCCCTTAATTTTGTGGTGTGCCTATCTTGTTTCTTCTAGTACATTATGTTGTGGTCCAATACTTCCTTTATCTTAATGGCCCATTAGGTAATAGTTATAAACAGTGGTAATGGGAATGGATTTGTATGTAAATTCAGAAAGAAAGTCAATGTTCATTCCCAAGATAACTCAAGATGACCCCCAAATCTTTTTATTTTTCTTCATAAATTTCCATTCCCACCTAATATCACTTCCCAAGTGGTAATGAATGGTAATGGTAATGGGATGAGATTATAATCCCATGTAGGTTGTTTTCCAAACTAAATTACACTTAAAATTGATTTCCATTACTGCCATTTATTACCTGCTGCTAAATTGGCTGTAATAGACTAATAGTACATACTACATAACCCATACCATAGTCCTACCATTGCTATGCATAAGTTATGAGCACAAATCATTGCTTCATTGGCATGAAGCAAAAATCAGCACCTAAAAACTTGATAATTTAATCATCATTGGAAAAGTATGGAGGTAATTTATTAATGCAATTTTTACAGGTTGCAAATATTCTTGATCACTAATCTGAGGTTCTGGTGACTACCACTTTGATCTTGAAATTTTAAAACACCATAATCCATTTAATTCCCTCCTCTTCTCCTTTCAGTCCATTTCAAAAACCAAATTTAGAATTATCTTTGTTTATGCACAAACAGCGTAAAAGTTTGTTGGAGCTTTTCATTTGGAATGAAGATGCTGTTTGGTGGAATAATAATCTAATGTGTGAGGCTTTTTAAGGATTGTTTATGTTTACAAAGTCTCCAACATGCATGTCAATCACAGCTTAACAAAATAGTTGTATTAGCCAACTAGAGAAAATAAACTGTACCTTATACTTTCCAAGAAAGCTGTGACGCTGTCCAGTTATCATCATGTCTACATCTCGGTCTAAGGTGAGTTTTACATGACGATTTAACAGATAACATGGAACAGAAGCTGCAGCAGCAATAAAAGCTGATCTTGTCTCCTTGCCACCAAATCCACCACCAATTCTCTTTGTTTTGCAAACTACTTTTGACATAGGAAGACCGAGTACGTGACTGACATACTTCTGGTGCTTCTGAGGTGCCTGCAGAGGGATTATTATAATGCGAACTAATAAACAAAAAAATAAAGAAAAATTTCATGCAGAAGACATTTAAAAATTAAACATTTAAAATTTTATTCATAGGGCATAGGAGAAACTAGCAACTTAAGTATGATAGATACCTGAGTAGATGAGATCATATGGACCTCATTACCACTGTCCATGGTCCACACTAAACTGCTCATTGATTCCAAGTAGAAATGTTCCTGACCACCTACTTGTACTTCACCTTCTATGATCCTGTCGCACTCACCTGATTGAAAGCAGAGATCAACATCACCTTTCTTGAATTGCCTCTCTGAGCCAGGATGAAAACTTCTAGATTTAATTGCATCTTTTATAGATAAAATAGGAGGCAGCTCTTCGTACTCCACATGCACGCTTCTTGCTGCTAGTTTTGCATTTTCATGGGTATCGGCAACAACTATGCCAATCACCTGTAAATTCACAGATACTAGTCAAAAGCTGCCTAAATAAGATTCAAAAGAGGTATCAAATTCTTTTGGATGAGCTAATAACCGATAAAATGAACTCAAAAGTTCAGTAAGATTGGAGTTTACCTGGCCCACACAAGTTACCAATTCTGAAGCAAAGAGCTCCTCATCAGCGACCACGGGCCCAATAAAATTATCCCCAGGGACATCTTTGGCATAAAATATGCCTTCAAAGCCAGGTAAAGACTTTGCACCGGAATCATCAATTGAGACTATGCAGGCATGAGGCTTTTTACTCAGGATCAATGCAGCATGTAAACCATTAGGTGGCATTGCTATATCATCAGCATATTCTGCCTCGCCTGTTACCTAAAAAGAGTGACAGAAGAATATGGTAAGAGCGCTAGGTATAATGTATAAAATCTAGCTTGATAACATGATTGAATAAATAGGAATAACCATTTAAAATTACCAAGCACTTCACATTTAAAATTATATTACATTAATGATGCCAACTTCAGCCAATAACTTTATAATGAACGACCAGTTGTAATAAAAAAAAAAAAAAAAGGTTTAGTGCATTAACCACAATCCTGATCCTTAACCACCCCTCCCCCCCCCCCCCCAAAAAAAAAAAAAAAAAAGCCCCAACACACAAACCCACACACCAAAATAGAAATATTTTAAAGCAAATAAATCTCTGCGAAGGGATATTCCCAAAATATTGTTGCACACCTGAAGTGTTGCAGATAGATGCATCTCGGGAGATCCTACAGCTGTCCCATGTTTGACAATCTCATAGTCCTGACTCCCAATCACAGGTGGCTTATGGGATGGCTGTATTGCTGACAGATATGATGGAGGTACACTCTCTGTCAAAGTTGTCTTTACATCTAATTCTCGAGATACCCACAAAAAATATTTGAAGAAAAAACTTAATGTCAAAGATTTTCTGAACTCCACCATCCCACCTGGTGCATCTTCCTTAAGTAACACGTCCTCCTCCAAGACTTTTAAGGCCCCATCTAGCAACTCCTTGTTCCAACTCTTTCCTATGAGAAAATCTTTTGTTTTTGACGCAAAAAAAGAAACAGCAGCAACCCCTCCATATACAATTGATGCATCTGAAACAAGCCATTCTTCGTTCTTCTTCTCAAGGTGAACACGCATCCCGGCATTTACTAATGCAATATCATCATCTTTACGATGAGCTTGCTTAAACTCTTTCACAAACTCAAAAGGCCTTGTCCATGGTAAATGTATTGATAGTAAAATCTCATCACTTGACAAATCAATCTTACGATACCCTAAGAAAAAGTTCTCTGCCAAAATTGTTCTAATGTTTCCCTTGCTATTGATAATGTGAAACTTTGCTCCGGTAGCCATCCAAAGAGGATTCAAATCTGATATTGGACTAGCAGTGCATATATTGCCACCAACAGATGCAACATTTCTTATCTGAGTTCCAGCAAACCATTTTATTTGCTCAATAAAAGCATTACAAGATGATACTTCATGAGCAGCACGGTCTAAAGAAACTCTTCTAAGAACACTCAGAAGCTCAGACAGTTTCACAGCAGCCCCTATCTCCAATCCGTTATCTTTCACATGTAAGATGTTTAACTCAGGCACCTGTGCAACTGACACAAGAACTTTATACTGCAACCTCTTCAGCCTCATTTCGATTCCAACCTCAGTGTTACCATTTACCAACTTTGCCTCTGGATATTTGGCTTTTAACTCTAGAACATGTTGAAGTGAAACAGGTCGATACCACTTAAGCCCACCAAAACCACTCAAGCTTAAAAAGGTAGATTTCCTTAGCAATAGCTCAGGAGGAAAAATAAGCTCTCTATCATTGTATTTGCTACCATCAATATCACTATAAGAAAGTTGTTTGTAACTTTTATTGCATGCCCCGCTTTCCTTCATATTATCAGAGTTGCAATCAGATTTCAATCCACAAGAGCAGGGTTTACCAGTAGATGGACATACGAACTCATTGCCTAGACGATCTGCCAAGGTAGCACCAGTGTATATCATGTCATCGGTTTTAGCAAAAACTCTGAAGGCATCAATAATTGGCCTATAACCTGTGCAACGGCACAAATTCCCTGCCAAACTTTCTTCAATTTGCTGCTCAGTTGGAGGAGTTTGACAGGATCTTAATAAAGCATACATGGACATGACAAATCCAGGAGTACAAAATCCACACTGGGAGCCATGTGAGCTTGCCAATGATTCCTGCAAAGATGACATATAATAAATAACAGAAAAGTTGCAAAACAGTTCTTTTTCCTCATTAAAATTAGTCAGGAAAGTGCTATCCTGTCAACGAAGGAATTTTAGATAAACAAAAGCTGAAAAATTAACACTAAGGGCCTGTTTGTTCACCTTATTTTCACTTTCTTCAGGAAAGTTCAAATGATATAAGTTTTGGATAAATAAGTTCCAATAAGATTTGATAAGGGTTAATAAGGGCTGTCCAAGTTCAATTTACAACTAAATTAAGTTCTAATAATGTCAAATAAGTTTTGACAAGTTCAAATAAGTAAAAATCAGGTTAATAGAACAAACACTAAAATTTTATAGACCCATGCGGAGTTTATTTGTAAGTATGGACCAATAATGCTAGAGGGCATAACTTTGGATTTCCCCTGCCTTGCCTATTTCTCACAATCACCCAACCAGAAATATATTCATGTACAGAGTAAATTCTCAATAAGAAAAAGAACAACACCCGGTTAAAATTTGGTTTTCGTTTTAGAAACATTTGTCTATCTTTACCAAAATTTAAATTTGGGATGGGGGAATAGTCTATCAGGCAAATCAACTCCGCATCTTCTTTATCTAATATAGAATAGGATAGGAAGTTAGCCGTGAGTAAGGATATGCTAAATCCTTCATTTTTAAGTATCCTTTCCTCAAGGTTGTTCAATGGAGAGCTTGCAAAACAACTCAGCATCTGAAAAGCTCTGGGGTACTTATAAATTATAATGATGTATGAAGTATGCACCTATTTAGATGAAATCATATAAAATGGAAAGAATTGAACCTGCACGGGATGCAAGCCAAGTTTACGATTTCCAATGCCTTCCACTGTGATTACATGCATTCCTTCTACAGAGTACAGTGGAGCCAAACATGCATTAACTGCATGGTGCCTGTTAGAGGAAAAAATAAGAAATTGAAACAATCTCTTTAATTTGGTTTGTCAACCATTATAGATGCGACATTTATGAAAAAAAGATGCTCGACCCACATGGAGTGATGTCATAATCCTGCTAGAACAAAGTGCAGCTATGCCAAATATCAAACAGACGTAACTACTATCAGAATGGCTTTATATGATTCAATGCTCCCTACATTCACTCATAGCCCTAAAAATAACAGCTGCTTTTCACACCATAATATTAGTTTGCCATTTTTAATATTATTCTGTAGACATATGTGAGCATAGTAAACAGATGACGGGGACAGTATCCACTTAAGTTTCTTATAATTAATTTACGTTGGGAGCAAACAAGCAGATAATTTTGTTTTGCAGAGACTCACACACATTTCTTGTGCAGCTGATCAAAGTAGGAGACCATAACCGTACAAGCACCACAACCTCCTTCACCACAGCCTAATTTTGTCCCAGTTAGGCCAAGATCTGCACCAAAAGCATTGATCACAACATCATTAATCAACAACAAATCAAATAGCAACAGAAAAATAATACTACATAATACTTAAAGCCAAATCACAAGATTGGTAAATAAAGAAGTTAAAAAATCCCTCAGCCACTTTGAAGGTGTTAGTGTATGACACTATGAAATTGAACAACAGAGATCCTTTGGGCCTATTTTGTCATCGGATATAGGTAATCCTCCTTATTTCATTTGGTTTTCCCAGCTCCTTTTTCTTTCTCTTCCCTTGATTCACCTCTCCCTCACACAGTCTCTTCCCTGCTTCTCCTCCCCTTTCCACTGCCATAGGAGATAAGAAAAACAGATTGCTCCCTATCTAAGGCTCTAAGCTTGATTACAGTTGCATTCTCAATGCATCAAACTATGCATAACAAATTACTAGGTAGGCTTACAGTTGCCCACCCTATGTTTGTTTTCTTCATTGTATGATAAGGGGTTGAAGGAAAAAATCATATGGATGAGAAAGAAACTCAACATAGTAGATGGATATATTGTCAACTTTCCATGAAGTAATCAGAGTATAATATTCATTTGCACAATATATCGAGTGCCAAAATATGTCCATCCCTTCACTAGGGTATTGGGGTGGTAGCTTGCTTAAAAAAATGGTTGGTATTTGATACATTAGAGAAAGTCCTACTATGCAAAATGAAACCGAGTAAATTGCAAGACAAGAATCGTAACCAGAAAATTGCATTAAACCAATTACTCTATATTGCCTTCATGTCATAAACTCATATTTATTCTCCAACAAACCTCACTTGCAGGATATTTTACTTTATTCAATTGAAGGTCTTAATCTATGTGATAAAAAAAAGTTGCACTAAAGAAAATGGATGAATTCTTGGGCTCATAAATGATTAATAAATCTTTTTTTTAAAAAAAAAAAAAAAAAAAAAAGGAAGCATAATTTTATTGGATTGTCCCTCTTTAGAGAAAAAGGGAAAAGCTAAATTTCTTTTGGCTAAAAGGGTAAAGTTGATTCTTTTTTCTTAATCATTTTCTCCAACACACCTCAATCAAAACCTTCTAATGCAAAACCACTTTGATTTCATTTCATGATACAGTTAAAGTTAACATAATTCTACAATTATCATCTACTCCTTTCAAATTTGAGGATAACTTGATCAAAATTCAACTTCAAAACCCGAAACCGACACAAATTTTTGAAACCAGGGAGTAAGGGCCTATCATTTAGCTAAATTCCTTAATTTTAAGGTAACAATCATACAATTCTATGTTTTCCCATAAAAATTCATCAAAAGTCAAACATCATTGCTCAGTAACAAAGCACCGTTACAACTAACAACAGCATAACTCATGATCATAAACTTTACAAAATACAGAATTTAATACAATCTTCAATTTAATATATTCAAAATATACAATTAAAATAACAAATTAAAAACAAAATTAGAGAATAAAAATTAGTATTATCATACCTCTGAGATACTCAAGAAGAGTCAAGTGAGCTAAACCATCAGAAAGAACTTTACGAACACCATTGATGTAAAGTATAGCTTCGTATGATTCTTTTTCTTCGATTATTCCAACTTTTTCTTCACTCATCAAAGATCCCATCTTTTTTCTTTCAGAATATCACTATGAATATTCTCCAAAATTAAATCAAATCTCCAAATTAAAAAGAAATAATTAAATTTAGAAAGAAATATACAAAATTGGATGAACAATGAGTAAGTGAATTGAGAGTTTCTAGTATAGTTTCGACCAAATAAAAAGAAAGTGATGAAATTTGATGAGATCGGATGTTAAAAGAAAAAAAAAATGAACACGGAATAAGTTAATTCATACTTCGTAAATCGTACTTTTGTTTTCTAATCTTTTTTTTTTTTCTTTTTTTTTTAAAAACAAGAAACAACTCTTACCTATTATGTTTGTTTGTACTTGTGGATAAATAGTGGGATAGGTCCACCAAAAAAAAATATAGTGGGATAGGAAATAATAATGCATTGTATTATTATATCCCATGAATAAAAAATGGAGTAATCCATCTATTCATATATCCTTTTTATAATAGCTTATTAGGCCTCATTGAATAATTTGCTTCTCGATTTTCCGTAATAAAAAAATATAAAAAATAAATAAAAGACAAGGGGGCAAGTATAAGATTTGGGACTAAAATGAAAAGATTAGTAACAATAGTTAAGTAATTTTATTACTCATCCCAATTTACTTCCCAAAACATACCAAAGGCAAACAATAGGTAACATAATTTAATTTCCTTCCCCCATCCTTATCCTACCTTTTTATACTCATTATCTTTATTGGCGTTATCGATATTGCTAAATGTCCATTAGTTATTAAATAATCCCTAAAAAAAATGGATTAAAAGACAAAATTACAAGTAAATTAACAAAAAAAAAAAAAAAGTGTAGTCAGTATGGATTACATAGTATGACATGTATGTAAATATATTAGCTACACCTATTAAAAAAATATATTAATTTATTTACAATTTTGTCACTTTATTATTTAGAAGATAAACTTGTATTTATTTGTATAGAGCGTCAAATAGATCTACTAAATGTAATTTGTATCTTATACGGAGTATAAAATAATTGAAAAAGTTATGTTAATAATAAATTAATAATACATATGTCTCTTTTCGATAGTAATATATATTTTGATCTTCACGGTTTTTAATGCACATTATGTATATATTCAATATAATTTGAGTAATTTTTTTTAATAAATTAACATTTTAAAAATATATTTTAGACTAATACAACATTTCATTATATTCCAAAATTTCAAAATAGAAATATAACTCATTTTTGGTACTTTATAAACATTTTTATAGGTGTAATATGGTTTCAAACCACCTTATATGACCCCGAGAGTCACCCCACGTACTTAGTTCAGTTTTGAAAAGAATGTCAAAAAATGACCCGAAATCGTGTATTATATCCTTCAATTTTGGACAATTTTTCACTTTTTTGACCCGAAATAAAAATTGCAGAGATGCTTCCCATGGACCCTAATACACCCCGTGAGTCCATTTGGTAGAGTAAAACCATCCAATATATCTTCAAACTGTCAATTTACCCGTTTAAAACTTGCACCGATTTCATAAACACGACGCTACAACGGACATTTATGGTAACATATAATGATCATATATGGTTCCAAACGTCAATATATGACCCTGGGATGTATCCACTGGTATCTCGAGACTTTTTGACACCAGATATCGAAACCTCCGAAATTACCACAAAAAGCGTGTATTACAGCCTTCAATTTTGCCAAAATTTGACTTTTTATAGATATCTTTATAGGTGTGATATAGTTTCAAACCACCTTATATGACCCTGACAGTCACCCCACATATTTAGTGGATTTTTTAAAAAAAATGTCATAAATGACCCAAAATCGTGTATTATATAGCCTTCAATTTTGGACAGTTTTCACTTTTTTAAACCCGGAACAAAAATTGCCGAGATGCTTCCCATGGAACCTAATACACCCCAGGAGTCCATTTGGGTTAGTAAAACCATCCAATATACCTTCAAATTGTCAATATACCCTTTTACAACTAGCCCCGATTTCATAAACTTAAGGCTACCACGGACATTTATGGCAACATATAATGATCATATATAGTTCCAAACGTCACTATATGACCCAGGGACGTATCCCCTGGTATCTCGAGACATTTCGACTACGGGTCCCGAAACCTCCAAAATTACCACAAAAAGCGTGTATTACAGCCTACAGTTTTGACATTTTTTTCTTTACTTTTTATAGACATCTTTATAGGTGTAATATGGTTTTAAACCACCTTCATGACCCCGGGAGTAACCCTACGTATTTAGTTCAGTTTTTGAAAGAATGTCAAAAAATGACCCAAAATCGTGTAATATAGCCTTCAATTTTGGACAATTTTTCACTTTTTTAGACCCGGAAACAAAAATTGTCGAGATGCTTCCCATGGAACCCAATACACCCCGGGAGTCCATTTGGGTGGGTAAAACCATCCAGTATACCTTCAAACTCACTGGTTACCCTTTTATAACTTGCACTTATTTCATAAACTCGAGACTACCACGAACATTTATGGCAACATATAATGATCATATATGGTTCCAAACGTCAATATATGACCCTGGGATGTGTTTCCTGGTATCTGGAAACTTTTCGACACCAGGTCCCGAAACCTCCGAATTACCACAAAAAGCCTGTATTACAACCTTCAATTTTGCAAAATTTGACTTTTTATAATCATCTTTATAGCTGTAATATGGTTTCAAACCACCTTATATGACCCCGAAAGTCACCCCGCTTATTTAGTTCAGTTTTTGAAAAAATGTCAAAAAATGACCCAAAATCATGTATAATAGCCTTCAATTTTGGACAATTTTTCACTTTTTTAGACTCGAAAACAAAAATTGTCGAGATGCTTCCCATGGACCCTAATACGCCCCGAGAGTCTATTTGGGTGCGTAAAACCAACCAATATACCTTCAAACTGTCAATTTACCCGTTTACAACTAGCATCGATTTCATAAACTGAGGCTACCACGGACATTTATGGCAACATATAATGATTATATATGATTCCAAACGTCACTATATGACCTGGGACGTATCCCCTGGTATCTCGATACTTTTCGACACCGGGTCCCGAAACCTCCAAAATTACCACAAAAAAGCGTGTATTAAAGCATTCAATTTTTCTAATTTTTTACTTTTTATAGACATCTTTATAGGTGTAATATGGTTTCAAACCACCTTATATGACCCCGAGAGTCACCCCACGTACTTAGTTCAGTTTTGAAAAGAATGTCAAAAAATGACCCAAAATCGTGTATTATAGCCTTCAATTTTGGACAATTTTTCACTTTTTTAGACTCGGAAACAAAAATTGCCGACATGCTTCCCATGGACCCTAATACACCCCGGGAGTCCATTTGGGTGGGTAAAACCATCCATTGTATCTTCAAACTGTCAATTTACCCGTTTAAAACTTGCACCGATTTCATAAACTCGAGACTACCACGGACATTTATGGCAGCATATAATGATCATATATGGTTCCAAATGTCGATATATGACTCTGGGATGTGTTTCCTGGTATCTGGAGACTTTTCGACACCGGGTCCCGAAAACTCCGAAATTACCATAAAAAGCGTGTATTACAGCCTAAAGTTTTTGCCATTTTTGACTTTTTATAGACATCTTTATAGGTGTAATATGATTTTAACACACCTTTATGACCCCAGGAGTCACCCCACGTATTTAGTTCAGTTTTTGAAAAAATGTCAAAAAATGACCCTAAATCGTGTATTATAACCTTCAATTTTAGACAATATTTCACTTTTTTAGACCCGAAAACAAAAATTGTCGAGATGCTTCCCATGAACCCTAATACACCCCGGGAGTCCATTTGTATGGGTAAAACCATCCAATATACCTTCAAACTCACTGGTTACCCGTTTACAACTTTTACCAATTTCATAAACTCGAGACTACTGATTAGGGGATTTTTATCCACCAATCACCATCTGACAAGTGGACCAACCAGGTTCCGCCACGTGTCCTTCACGTAGGCCAATAGGAGCCTGCCACGTGTCAATCACAGATACGTCCTCTACGGACCAATTGAGACACGCCACGTGTCCACCCATGCCAAATGGGAAAACCGGCCAACAAGGCCCAATCCTGTTTAGAGGCCCGGTCAGCCCTAGGTTTACCCTAAACCTAGAGAGTGGCACGCTTCTCAAGACTATAAATACTTAATTAATCCTCATTAAAGGGGATTCAGCAATTAATGACTCTCACCTAGAAAAGTCTAAACACATTGATCACTCCTCCCCTAGAGGAACCAGATCTTCCCCCTTTAATTTCCGCACTTATTACTCCTTAATCAAGTACTAACTTGACCGTTGGAGGCGGAGCTCCCAGGAGTCTCCGTTATTTTGCAGGTACAGGCGTCCGGTTCCAGTCTCGGAATTGTAACTCTCCCGCGGGACATCAGAAAACCCCGAAACATTTGGCGCCGTCTGTGGGGAGAGTACTTCAGAGATGGCATCCAAGTCTGTACCGACTCCTGAAGAGAGGCGTCCCCTAGACGACCTTCAAGTTCAGTCGGACCATGACACCGAAAGTGAATTTGAAGTTGAAACTCATACAGCTCCAGACGGGACCCTAAGGGCCCGACGTACCCGTCATACCGAAAGGAGGGAACGGGAGCATCTTCAAACAGGAAGCGAGCCAGCAGGCGCACCGCCTGTTCGGCAACAGCCGACTGATGGGTCTACTCCCATCACAAGGAACGAACTCATGACCTTCATGAGGGACTTCAAGGGAGAGATTCAAGAGTTGATCAACAAGAAGCCGCCTGCTTCAGTCAAGGAGCAGTCGGCCAAGAAACCCTCCACTTCACTGAAGAGGAAGCCAGTTCAAGGGCGAGAGGCGACTCCTCATCCTAAATCTAGGAAGCGGGAGCCACCTGCCCTTGATTTCACAAAATTCCGTTATCCTACAGGAAATAGGAAACCGGTTCGTCATATTCAGGCGGACGGGTCAAAGCAAACATTCACAGATGCTCGGCTACTGCTAGAGCAGAAGAAGAGTGACCGATTGTCAGAGTCGGCTTCTACTTCAAACTTTCCAGACAGTTTGCGAAATGCCTCGATGAGGCATACTCAGTCGTACCATGAGAGTCAGTCAGGCGGCACCTCCCGTCAGTCCGGCTTTCATAGTGCCCAGGCGGTACCAAACTTACCATTTGTGCCGCAACAACAGTATTTTATGCATCCACCTCCCTTTGGTGGACCTACAGCAAAAAACGTCCAACCTATGGACTGGCAGCTACGGTTGCTAAGACTTGGTGAACAGCCGTCGGCCTTCTCCAAGGAAATTACTGAAGCCGCTCAGCCGGCCAAAGTGAAAAATGTACTAGTAGGCGCCTATGACGGCACTACTAACCTAGAAGACCATCTGATCGCA